ACAAGCCGGCTGCTGGATGTGCTGTGACAGTGTGTCGGTGCTTGTTGTCGGTGTCGGGTGGTGCAGCTGGCGGCGGCCCGCTGCCATACGGGAGCGGTCGGTCGGCAGGCCGCTCGGAGGCTCGTCCAGCCGGTAGTTGGTGTCAGATCTCTGAGGCCGGTGGGTCAGAGCTAGTGGTGTCAATTTCAGAAAACGTATGTCCAAAGTCCGTCCAATGTCCAATGCTTACGTCGACTGTCCGTCCAAAAATGTCCAAGCCAGCCATTTGTCCAAAGATGTCCGACGCCTACGCAATAGTTTACACTCAATACTGTTAGGTATTTAATTTGCTTTTCATGTACCGGTACCAGCTCAAAAGTGCTGATCATATTGAAAGCTGAGCTTTCTAATAGCCAATCAATGTTAAACACGATTACTTTTTAAAAATGTTGAGGTGTAGCAAGCGATTGTCCAAAGTTGTCCAAAGCCTGCTGCCATTGTCCAACCGAATTCCGAATTGGACATTGGACAAAATCGGAATTCCGAAGATTCAAGTTCCGATTGACACCACTAGTCAGAGCCGGTGAGCCCGGTCAGGGCACGGCCGGAGCACGGCCACGGCCCCGGCGGCGGCACGGCGTGCTTGTCAGTGGGCCGGCCGTGACCTGGCGGTGACCGGTCGGTCTGTCTGCCGACCGACCACCGGTCGAGCCCCGACCGACCACTGGGACGGCACCGGTGGATGATCAGGGGGGCGGGCGGTGGACTGCATGTGACTGCACGGTGGTGTGTAAGGTCGATCGACGAATACAAGGTGCATTGGAGAAGACAGTCCAGTTGACCATGTGACCTCGAGCGACCCTGCACAGCGGACTGGGGAGAGGAGAAGGACAGGGTTGGGGGCTCAGCGGCCGCCGCAGAAACGGACACTCACATATAGGGTAGGGACAGTCGGCAGAGACGGTCCCACCGGTCCCACTCATGGGGTAGGGACAGTCGGCAGAGACAGTCCCACCGGTCCCACTCATGGGGTTGGGACAGTGGGCAGAGACAGTCCCACCGGTCCCACTCATGGGGAAGGGACAGTCGGCAGAGACAGTCCCACCGGTCCCACTCATGGGGTAGGGACAGTCGTCAGAGACAGTCCCACCGGTCCCACTCATGGGGTAGGGACAGTCGGCAGAGACAGTCCCACCGGTCCCACTCATGGGGTAGGGACAGTCGGCAGAGACAGTCCCACCGGTCCCACTCATGGGGTAGGGACAGTCGGCAGAGACAGTCCCACCGGTCCCACTCATGGGGTAGGGACAGTCGGCAGAGACAGTCCCACCGGTCCCACTCATGGGGTTGGGACAGTGGGCAGAGACAGTCCCACCGGTCCCACTCATGGGGTAGGGACAGTCGGCAGAGACAGTCCCACCGGTCCCACTCATGGGGTAGGGACAGTCGGCAGAGACAGTCCCACCGGTCCCACTCATGGGGTAGGGACAGTCGGCAGAGACAGTCCCACCGGTCCCACTCATGGGGTAGGGACAGTCGGCAGAGACAGTCCCACCGGTCCCACTCATGGGGTAGGGACAGTCGGCAGAGACAGTCCCACCGGTCCCACTCATGGGGAAGGGACAGTCGGCAGAGACAGTCCCACCGGTCCCACTCATGGGGTAGGGACAGTCGTCAGAGACAGTCCCACCGGTCCCACTCATGGGGTACGGACAGTCGGCAGAGACAGTCCCACCGGTCCCACTCATGGGGTAGGGACAGTCGGCAGAGACAGTCCCACCGGTCCCACTCATGGGGTAGGGACAGTCAGCAGAGACAGTCCCACCGGTCCCACTCATGGGGTAGGGACAGTCGGCAGAGACAGTCCCACCGGTCCCACTCATGGGGTAGGGACAGTCGGCAGAGACAGTTCCACCGGTCCCACTCATGGGGTAGGGACAGTCGGCAGAGACAGTCCCACCGGTCCCACTCATGGGGTAGGTAGGGACAGTCGGCAGAGACAGTCCCACCGGTCCCACTCATGGGGTAGGACAGTCGGCAGAGACAGTCCCACCGGTCCCACTCATGGGGTAGGGACAGTCGGCAGAGACAGTCCCACCGGTCCCACTCATGGGGTAGGGACAGTCGGCAGAGACAGTCCCACCGGTCCCACTCATGGGGAAGGGACAGTCGGCAGAGACAGTCCCACCGGTCCCACTCATGGGGTAGGGACAGTCGTCAGAGACAGTCCCACCGGTCCCACTCATGGGGTACGGACAGTCGGCAGAGACAGTCCCACCGGTCCCACTCATGGGGTAGGGACAGTCGGCAGAGACAGTCCCACCGGTCCCACTCATGGGGTAGGGACAGTCAGCAGAGACAGTCCCACCGGTCCCACTCATGGGGTAGGGACAGTCGGCAGAGACAGTCCCACCGGTCCCACTCATGGGGTAGGGACAGTCGGCAGAGACAGTTCCACCGGTCCCACTCATGGGGTAGGGACAGTCGGCAGAGACAGTCCCACCGGTCCCACTCATGGGGTAGGTAGGGACAGTCGGCAGAGACAGTCCCACCGGTCCCACTCATGGGGTAGGACAGTCGGCAGAGACAGTCCCACCGGTCCCACTCATGGGGTAGGGACAGTCGGCAGAGACAGTCCCACCGGTCCCACTCATGGGGTAGGGACAGTCGTCAGAGACAGTCCCACCGGTCCCACTCATGGGGTAGGGACAGTCGGCAGAGACAGTCCCACCGGTCCCACTCATGGGGTAGGTAGGGACAGTCGGCAGAGACAGTCCCACCGGTCCCACTCATGGGGTAGGACAGTCGGCAGAGACAGTCCCACCGGTCCCACTCATGGGGTAGGGACAGTCGGCAGAGACAGTCCCACTGGTCCCACTCATGGGGTAGGGACAGTCGGCAGAGACAGTCCCACCGGTCCCACTCATGGGGTAGGGACAGTCGGCAGAGACAGTCCCACCGGTCCCACTGATGGGGTGGGGACAGTCGGCAGAGACAGTCCCACCGGTCCCACTCATGGGGTAGGGACAGTCGGCAGAGACAGTCGCACCGGTCCCACTGATGGGGTGGGGACAGTCGGCAGAGACAGTCCCACCGGTCCGGCCCTCAGAGGCCGGTGGGCGACTCCCACCACCAGTCCCCGGTGGGTGATGGGACCGGTGGGCGACTCCCACCACCAGTCCCCGGTGGGTGATGGGACCGGTGGGCGACTCCCACCACCAGTCCCCGGTGGGTGATGGGACCGGTGGGCGACTCCCACCACCAGTCCCCGGTGGGTGATGGGACCGGTGGGCGACTCCCACCACCAGTCCCCGGTGGGTGATGGGACCGGTGGGCGACTCCCACCACCAGTCCCCGGTGGGTGATGGGACCGGTGGGCGACTCCCACCACGAGTCCCCGGTGGGTGATGGGACCGGTGGGCGACTCCCACCACGAGTCCCCGGTGGGTGATGGGACCGGTGGGCGACTCCCACCACCAGTCCCCGGTGGGTGATGGGACCGGTGGGCGGCTCCCACCACCAGTCCCCGGTGGGTGATGGGACCGTCGGTGACCCGCCGGGCCGACGGTTGTTCCCGCTGCCCTCTGCTACCGCCGGCCGACAGACAGCCGGCAGCTCTTGTGGCGGCCGTCGGCGCCGCTCAGTGACCCACGGGGCCGGCGCTGAGGTGCCGCGGCGCGCCGCCCCCCGAGCTACCCAGTGGCGGCCCGTGGACACGCGGCTGGTGCCGCACCGCCCCGCCGCGCCCCACCTGGGCCGTGACCTGGCCGGCGGCGGCGGTGGCGGCGGCGGCGGCGCGCCGGACGGTCACCAGTAGAGCTCCGACAGAGTCTCGGACCGACCGGACCGTGCAGCGAGCAGCGAGCCGGGCAGCCGCGCCGAGGGGCGGGCCGGGCGTCCGAGCCGGTCCGCACCTCTGACCAGTCGGAGGGGCGGGCCGTACGTCCGGTCCGCACCCCTGCCCAGTCGGAGGGGCGGGCGGTACGTCCGGTCCGCACCTCTGCCCAGTCGGAGGGGCGGGCGGTACGTCCGGTCCGCACCTCTGACCAGTCGGAGGGGCGGGCGGTACGTCCGGTCCGCACCTCTGACCAGTCGGAGGGGCGGGCCGTACGTCCGGTCCGCACCTCTGACCAGTCGGAGGGGCGGGCGGTACGTCCGGTCCGCACCTCTGCCCAGTCGCCACTGCAGTGTCCGTGTATGGCCCCAGAACACGCCACGGGTGTCTCCCGAGCCGTGTGTGTCTCCGAGTCGGTAGTGTGTCCAGCCGGTGTTGGACAAGTGCCGCTGGCCGGCCGTGGCGGCTGGAATGGAGGGCCGGGCACGGGCCGGCCGGCTCATCCGCCGGCGGTGGGAGGCCCGGTGTCAGCTGTGGGTCACACACCAGCACCGAACACTGCAGTTGTGAGGGGACGGGTGCAGGCCATACAACACACACAGAACTGCAACAGGGAACTACTTACATGACACCAGTCAGAGTGGCCAAAACACATACATTGTGCAGGAATCTCAGAAAAGGTATATGTGTGATCTGATCCCACGTAGTTATCCTGATCTTGGATCCGAGGGGATCCTAGATCCAGCCAAATGGCTCGAGACGGCAGCTGATTTACCAGAGGCGGCTCTCAGACCTGATCCCAAATGACGGCGGGTGTATACAGTGTGTCGTATACAGGTTATCGTCCGCCCGGCACCGGGGAAGGCGGTGAAATACGGCGAGTGGCGATCCAGCCAGTCAGTGTGTGGCCGCCGGTTAACGGTGAACTGCCACGCTGGGCCCGTATTATAGATATATACGACACCTGTTGATGATGTGCACGGAACAGAAGGACCAGGCCTCGACGGCCGACGGTGTGCTCTGGAGCCGGGACCGCAGCTCGGCAGGTCACAGCAGCGGCGGCACAGCGGCGCAGAAACACCCCCCCCCCCTCTGGTGGAGCCAAACTGTACTCAGGTCATCAGGACATTAGCGCAGATGATGAGGTAAGCTCCGAAGGTAACTATTTTCCAGGACAAAGACTGGACATGTGTAAAATGTATTAGTCAAAGCGCAGCCGATTATCAGTAGCATGGCCAAGTGATGACTAAAATCAAAAAAACCGGTCCGGAGTCGGAGTCAAGGCAGCTTGATCGACACGGACTCCGACTCCGACTCCCAATCGGTCGGTAGTCCCAATTACCCCCCTGTACGAAGCAGAGGACACAAAACATGGCGGCGCACACCCGGGCCGTGACGGCGTGCTTCCGTGAACCGAGTCGGACAGACGCGAGGACACTCGTTATGACCGGTGCCGTCAGAGCTCTACACAATTCAGTAGCATCCAGCTGACTATGTCCGACCGTTGAACAGCCGGCTATATCATACCCAGGGTTACATTATCCACCATACCCGACCGGTAATTACCCACTACATCGCATCACTTCATCCAATTACCCACAATACTCGCCCGGTAACTAATTGCCCTAAGCTACAGATGGTACAGCTGAAGCGTCTCCTCTCGTGTATATAGTAGACATGTGTTTGACCAATCTGACTGACTGAATGAATGAACTGACTGACCAATGATCAGCTGACTGACCACTCAGCTGACGGACCAACCAGCTGACGGACCAATCAGCTGACGGACCAGTCAGCTGACTGACCAATCAGCTGACGGACCTTTCAGCTGACTGACCAATGGTCAGCTGACGGACCAATCAGCTGACGGACCAATCAGCTGACGGACCAATCAGCTGACGGACCAATCAGCTGACGGACCAATGGTCAGCTGACGGACCGGTCGCCGCCCCGGGCCGGGTGACGGCCGCCGGCCGGGACCGGAGCGGGCGGGCGCGGCGCGGCCGGCCGCCGTCTGAACTGGCACCGCGTGGATACTGCCAGCTCGGACGGCAGCTAGCCAGTAGTCGAGTAGAGCTGTCCGTGTGGGACGTGTCACAACACGCTCAGCACGGCGCTCAGCACCGCCGAGCCGAGGTGCAGCCAGACCCGGGGGGAGCGGTCACGTGACCGAGCCGTCCGACTCCACCGGGGGACGGTCACGTGACCGAGGCCGGCCGTGCCGCCGGGACCAGGCGCGGTGAACCGAGTCGGACGGTCAGAGACGTGTGTTCTACATACAGAATAGCGTAATGCCACGATTGGTAGCCTCTCCAGTACATCACTTTTCACTGTCCAATTATCCATGGATAACAATACTAACCCGGCAATTACCCACTACATCACACCTCCCGTCCAATTACCCACAATGGCCGCCCGGTAATTACCCACTACATCACATCCGTGTACTACTACTACATCTACACTACTACTAGTACTACAACTACATGACTACACTAGAGCGGACACCGGGGCCGTGTGCCGGCTGACCGGCGCCGCTCTCAGTGCCGGCTGGTGCAGCACACACGGCAGCAGTCAGCTGGCGGCCCCGGCCGACTGGCTCGGCCTCTCTGCAGTCAGCTCATCACTGCACGGTCGGTAGTGCAGCGCATCAATCATTCCACTCCCACACTCTAACCCCACCGCCTTCCTGGCTCTTCAGCTGACGGAACAGCTCCCCTGTGGACAGAGCAGAGACACGTCTGAGGTGGACACGTCACACACACACAGACACACAGACAGCGGTACAGCCATGTCCACACACCGCCGGACAGTGACGTCACACACAGGACAGACGGCTGACGTGACGTCACCATCGGCCGTGGTGGCCGTGACGCGTCACGTCACCGTCCGTGACGTGGCCTCCGGCGGTGGTCGAGTGTGTGTGTCTGAGAGGCCGGTGGCGCCGTGCAGCGTCTGTTGTGAGGGACTGACTGGTCAGAGGCGCGGCGCGCGGCGCCCTCTCACCTACCGGGGACACGGAGATAGATGGTACGGGGCCGGCCATCACTGTCCCGGCCCAGGTCCGCCTTCTTCAGGGCGGTCAGCACGGCCCGGGTGGTGTCTGCCGTGCAGTGAAGGTACAGAACACACAGCTCCCGACACGACTTCACCAGTCTGTAACAGAGCAGAGCAGCAGAGCCGTCACACACAAACACAGCGGCACCAGCCGGCCGGACGTACGAGTCAGTGTCAGTGTCAGTATTTCAGTGTCTGTGTGTTGGTGTCAGTGACAATGCGTCAGTGTCAATGTGCTAGTGTCAGTGTGTCAGTGTCAGTGTGTTGGTGTCAGTGACAATGCGTCAGTGTCAGTGTGTCAGCGTCAGTGTCAGTGCGTCGGTGTCAGTGTGTCAGTGTCAGTGTGTCAGTGTCAGTATCAGTGTGTCAGTGTCAGTATGTCAGTGTGTCAGTGTCAGTGTGTCAGTGTCAGTGTGTCAGTGTCAGTGTGTCAGTGTCAGTGTCAGTGTCGGTGTGTCAGTGTCAGTGTCTGACAGGACAGCCCTCGCCAGTGTCTGCTGACTGACCTGGTGACCGCTGCTGCTGTGAAGGCCGTCTCTGCCGGCCGCTGGCGGTCCCCCAGTTTAAGTCTCCACAGCCCGGGGCAGCCGCTGAGACTGTCCAGCACGGCGTCAGGGACGCCGCCGGACAGGGTGAGATACTCCAGCTCAGGGCACCTGGTGAGGGGCTCCAGGCTCACGGTGTCAGGGACGCCGCCGGACAGGGTGAGACGCTCCAGCTCAGGGCACCTGGTGAGGGGCTCCAGGCTGCCGGCCGTGAGATCATGACAGTCTGGAAAACACTCAGACACACATACAGACAGGATCAGTCGGCAGAAATATATGTAAATATACGGAAAAAAACGAAACAGCTATGAATTCGCATGGTTTTATGGACACAGACGATGATATAACAATGGTAATATAATATATGATATGCAATCAGTTCAACCAATGCATTGAACTGCATTGAACATTGCATTACAATCATTATGTGTACGTTCAACTAAGTCTAAACGAATATGTCACTGATTCCCTTCCCTCACTGATTCACACCATGTTGGAGCTCAATTAGCTTCATTATTTCATAAATCACATTGGCTATGCATCCAGAGGCGGATCCAGCTCAGAGTTGGGGGGGGGGGGGGCAAACCATAACAATTTATCGATTCTTTCCATGCATCGTCCATAGGCGTAATGTAAAAATTATGCCGTTTGGGGGGGGGGCAAATGCCGATTTTGCCCCCCCCCCCCTGGATCCGCCACTGTATGCATCACACCTGTCTCAATGAGGTGCGACAACGGCACACCGTTACTCGGTGTCCGCCATTCCCTGATCTCTTATATCAGCGGCCTGTCCGTGCTGCCGCTGCTCACCGTATATCTCCAGTAGTTCGAACGTCCGTCCCAGGTCAGCCAGGTGACTGATGGTGTCGGCAGTCACCACCTGGAGCGACACTGACAGACCATCCGACGGGCACCGTTCCGGCCACCTCGGCTTCGTCACCTCCGGCCCTGTCGGACAGAGCTGTGTCAGCGGACTGCAGTCGGACAGAGCTGCCGCCAGCTCCCCGCTGCACCACTGACACCAGAGTGTCAGACACTGACACAGCCAGCACTAACACATCCGGGCGGCTGCACAACGATATTTTTGGCAACAGCATACATACGTAAATATGAAAATATGAGCAACATATGTAAGTATTACGATTTTTGCAAGGCACATTGGCTTAGGCACTGGGCAGCCAGTCATGGTATAGTAACCCGCGCCCTGGTGGGGGGGGGGGGGGCTATTTTTTGCCCCCCCTCCAGACTTTTCGATATATCTCCAGAACCGCTGCGCCGATCGTCACCAAACTTTCAGCACCCTCCCGGACATCAATTTTACACATTGTGACCAAACATTTTTCCAAAAGCTATGATAGGTTGGCCGGAAATGACGTCAGAGTGACGTCATGTTCTGCCGTTTTCGACCCAAAAAAGGGTTTCGCGGGAAGAGCTGTCACGCCTATAGCTTTGCAAATACAGAAAAATGTTTAGGACATAAAAGCTGTAGAATTGACAGGGCTACAAAACTGCCATCTCGGATTTTTGAATTTTTTATTTTGACCCCCAAAAATAAAAAAATAGATTTTTGGGATATAGTAGTCAAAAAATCCAAAAAGTTTTTTGAATTTCGCAAAAACCGGAATATATGTGATAGTCCTTACCACCTTCCATACACATACCAAATTTTAGATTGATATCTCTTTTTTTGGCGAAGTTATAGCGAAAAAACTGTTCAAAATTGATGACGTCAAATTTTCAAACTCAATTTTTAGCAATTCTAGACCTCGTAGTGCAAAACAAAGACCACCATTAGACTCCCCGTGACGAGCTGCATCGAATCGATACTCATTTTATGCAAAAATATCAACTTTGAAATTTGACCTTTTTTTACCTGACCTTGACCTGACCTCCACCAGAAAGTGACCTAAACCGTACCTGATGGTCTTATAACCAACACCATTGGGTTGGAAATGAAAAACTGGCCATAAAACATGCATCGCACAACCTTAGTAAAGTTGGGTTCATGTGGTGACCCTTGGTGACCTTTGGTGACCTGACCTGTGACCTGACCTGGTATGACCAGTGACCTCTAATAGCAACATATGTACTAGACAACTGACGTCTTATCGCTGATTTTCGACAAAATGCGTTTTACTCGGTGTTATAGCGCTTTCCCTAGAAGCCCCGTAAACGGTGAAACACTTTATCTTTGACCTGACCTGTGACGTCATCGGTGACCCCGAGGTCAATAAAATTTGGTTTCCTTCGACAAATTTGACAGGGCTATCGAACGCCGTTTGAATTTTGCGGATCCGTCCAGTAGTTTCGGAGATACGAGGGGGGGGCAAAAAATAGCCCCCCCCCCACCAGGTCGCGTTATAAACAGACCCCACCAGGGCGCGGGGTAACGGATCAGGTTGGTAAACTACATAAATATATGGTTCGCAGTGGTTGCAATGAAACCATTTCAAAGTACCATAATTGCTACAATAATATTTCATGCATGCACTTGATGCTCACACTATATGCAAATGCATGCATTGCATCACTCTAACAATACCATATAACACAAACAAGGCTGTAAGATGTTGGCTGAATTCGAACGGTTCGTCCATTTGCCGTCTGTCTCCCTGTTCATTTGTATATCCATATGCATTGTCCATTATACCGGCATTACATGTATGATCCGTGGTAGCTCACCTCTGACATTGAGGCGCTGGAGGCCCTCCGGCAGCTGCCCCCTCAGTCGCGGGAGGTCGGCGGCGGTGACTGACAGCCGCTCCACAGTCTCCCGTGAGATCCGCAGCTCCGTCAGCTCGCTGTCACGGACTCCGGCCGGAAGGATGACAGTGTCTGGCTCCACCCTGATGATGGCACCACGAAGTTGACTTGGAATAGTAGTAACTTGTGCTGGAAAGGTGATTGAACCAATGTCAGGCATTTGTCTAGGTCAAACATTGTACACTTACCTACAGGTGTAGAAAACACAAAGTGAAAACTGTTTGTGGCTACAATGCTGTGATAATTCCGTGTCTGAGTAAATATGTATGTACTTTATCAAAACGATGTGAATTTCATAAGTTACGGCGACTTTCCGTAACATAATATTCAACAAATACAATGATAATGGGTCTTTGACATATAAAACAAAATCACCACTAATTAGTGCATTATATTCCGAGCTAGGCATATTTTCATGATGCCAATTGATCAATATGACAGTTTTTGAAACCTTTTCACGTAAGTATTTTGTTCAGCACTTATGTGTAGCTAATTATAACAATTTTGTATCGTTATAAAATTTGTAGCGTAAATATTACGTCCAATAGAGGCCCAAATCATTGACCATCACCATTCACCACACTGCACACGACTCGTCATCCTACAGCTTGCCATGGCTTATGGCTTCCGTCTTACCTTAGGATGAGGCAGCATTACCTGCAATACATGTAATATGTGTTGTATCCAGTTATTCTTGGTTTGATTTAGGCTTCAGATTTTCAGGGATAAACTGCTTCTCCACGTTATTTATGAACATATGCTAGAAAAAAAAGCAGTTCCTTAGAGCAAAAATAACAAGCAAGGAGCGTTGCCGCCGGCCAGTTTTCCTGTTCTTCGTGTCCCTGTGTCGCCCCTGGCCCCTGCCCCGTTCAGGAGCGCCCGGCAGCGCCACCTGCACCTGACCAGTCCGACAGCGTTTGGGGTCGCCACGCACCACCGACAATCAGCTGACGCGACCGGCGGCGCGTCTCAAGGTCACTGGAGGTCAGCCGGGCGACGGCCCGCCGGGGTGGCCGTGACGTCACAGCCAGCGAATGCTGAGCGCCGGAACAGCTACTGTTGTTTATCCCTTCCTAGCCATTCATATATGAGTAACTTCAATCGCTGCTCACCATCCGTGACTAGTAGGGTAATCCGTGACCCCAGCTCCGTGGCCAGGTGACTGATGGTGTCGGCAGCCACCCCCTGAAGAGATACCGACAGACCACTCCCGTACCGTCCCGGCCACCTCGGCTCCGTCACCTCCGGCCCTGTCGGACAGAGCTGTGTCAGCTGACAGCAGTCGGACGGAGCTGCTGCCGGGTCGGGAGGCGGCTGACACTGTGGTGTCAAACCCTGACACAGACGACACTGACAACGCCAGGGTCGATCGGCACTGTTGGACAGTAATTGAACACTGTGCACAATGCATGCGCTATGCTTATACAATTACATGCGTCAGTTTATTAATACCAAGGCCGTATAAGAGAGGTAGAATCATCCCGCGATTTCCAATGGACCGGTCGCTAAGCATTAGCGTGACGTCACTGGTGGAGACCGGGCGGCGCCCGGCTCCAAGCTGTACGTCGGGTACATTTGGCACCGTATAGTTATTATTACTGAACGTAACGACAACTAATGACTCTTAATAACTTTTTTACTCACCTAAAGCTGATTTCCTTGCCGGTACATTGCCGACCCGAGCCCCAGGGATAATCATGGACCCAATCATGGGATATGGGTCGGATGGGCGACCTCGCGACGGGAGAAGGAACGATTGCAATTTGCAATTGTTGTGTCCCGCACCGCCGATTGCATTCTCTATCTGCACCCGGGGGGGGGGCAGGGGGCACGTGTCCCTATCGGATTAGGGGGCCTCGGGCCCGAGGGGCCTCGCGACGCCAATTGGCGGCTGAGGGTCCACGCTGGCATCTTTCGACTCAGAAGGGCCCCACAAGGCTAGGAAGAACATCTTATGTGCTCCGAAGAGCCACTTTTCTCTCCATAAGATCCCCACACCGGCTTTTTAGTGTCCCTTGTCGGCCTTTGAGGGCCCCTTGCCGGCTTCTCAGGGCCTATTGGCGACCTCTGAGGGCTACTTGCCGGCCTCTGAGGGCCCTTACCGGCCTATCAGGGACCAGCAGCTCTAAGGGTTCCACACACGCCTGCGATGACCCATGGTTGAAGGCCCCCACAACGGCGCCTGCGAGGGCCCTCACCGGTGGCTGTGAAGGCCCCACACCGGTGCCTAGCTGAGGGCCCCACACTGTCACCTCTGAGTGCAACCGGCACCCCTGAATGATGTCCCTAAAGCAGTGCTATCTATACGCAGTGCCATATATCGGCGGCTCTGAGGGCTCAACGCTGGAGCCTCTGACGGCCTCAGACGGGACCTGCGCATCGGACGGCCACTCACCGGTGACTTTTGAGGGCCCCACACCGACGACTCTGAGGGCCCCACTGGCGTCTGAGTGCACCTTGCTGGGCTCTAAGGACTCCACAGGGCTCCCGAAGGCATCGCAGACCTCTTGAGAGCCCCTTGTCGGTCTCTGAGAGCCCCTGTCGGCCTGTGAAGGGTTCGAGCCAGCAGCTCTAAGGGTCCCACACCCGACTGTAACGACCCCACAGTGTGGGGTCGTTTACCACACTGCAGTGTCTCTGAGGGCCCACAACGGCAGCTGTGAGGACCCTCATCGGCGCCTCTGGGAACCCCGCACCAATGCCTCTGAGAGCCTCACACCGGTACCTGTGAGGGCCCACATCAGTGCCTCCAAAGGCTTGATAACCGGCGGCCCTAAGGGCCCTACACGGATGATTTTGAGGGGCCTACCGAGGGCACCACACAATCCCTTAGTCTCGCTGAGCTTCTATCTCCATCCCATACCGGTTTTAATCCCAATTCCGGCTCGACTCATTATAAGCAGCCCCTCTCCATGGGTCAGCAGCGCCGCGCCGGTGTCGGGGGCCAGCGCCATCGGGGCGGCAGTCGGCCACGCGCACTCAATGGTTAGCGCTTAGCACCGGCGGCTAGCGCACGCCCGGTGTGTTATCGGCCGTGAGCCGCTCCAAAACGGCTGTAGTAACTGGTCGATAGAGGTAGTAAGCAGATGCAGAGATGCAGGAGGATTGATGACCGGCAAGCTTTTGTGTTTTACGAGGGTGAAGGGTCGAAGTCGGCTGCTAAGTGGTGAGCGGATTTTATCAGATACCGGTTCACTATGACCTTTGTCCGGGTCCTGGAGTACCCTGACGCACTCTTGGAGAGCCGAATCACAGCAAAACTCCATCCACGACTGTATCTATACGGCTTACGCTTTTCTGAAAACGTCTGCGTTTGGCCTTCTACGGGCCCGGCCGGTCGGCCCCGATTGGCGGTCCACCAGTGACGTCACCGGTAGTGGTAAGCTGATTGGCGAATAATACATGGGAAGAACCGGGACGACATCCCCCTGATTAATACAGTTCAGTACATACAGTTCATACAGGTCATATTCGTTTGCAAGAGTATAGAGTAGGTATGTACAATACAGTGGCTAATGTTTGTGTAGCAGGTAGGTAGCATGGCACACATATGTCCGCTGAACGTTTATCACTGAAACTGTTACTTTATGTGCTATGTAAGTACCACCATTCAGAAGTAATAGTACGCGTTTCCTCAACTATTTCTCACCGGCAACGTATAGCGTCCTCAGTGACGTCGGCAGCAGCCGCAGCCACCGCCCCGTTCCGAAGGACGGCACCCTGACGGTCAGCTCCTCCAAGCGAGGAAGACTCTGCAGGAGCGCCGTCAGCTGATCCTCGCCAAGGGCTGACGGAGCGTCGAACGTCGTCACGGTCCTTAGCGCCTCTCTCAGCACTGTGGTATCACTGTCTGCCGGTGGCTGGGGCTCCGTCTGTACCGTGACGTCACTGACTGCCGATGGCTGGGGCTCCGTCTGTACTATGACGTCACTGACTGCCGATGGCTGGGGCTCCGTCTGTACTGTGACGTCATTTGCCTGTTTTCTAGCTCTACTGAAAACAAGAACAAAAGTCTATAAATCCATTGATCAGGCATTGCAATTCCGCATTTATTGTCGGCTCATTTGATATTTCGATATGCATCTCCATATCATCTTCGTCAGTAATGGTATTAGTCAAATCTACTCGGTTGTATATAATCGTTCAGAGTTGATTTCATACGACTCTGAACGATTTGATACGACCGACTAGATTTTGTGACACGATTGCTGATGAAGACATGTAAATACGTGCGGGATATGGTGCCCCGAACTGGCCAACTTTATGCAGGACGTCTGTCGAAAACTGGAACAATACGATCGAGACTAAACGGCTAACTTGCAGAAGATGGTACGAATTCAAGACATGTTTCTTTGGTTGCGCGGAAATTACAATAACAAGCTACTCGACCTTCAAAGACGTAGTGGTGGTTTATTTCTTACACCTTCTAAGTTTACTTTTCACCATGACAGCTCTCCGAACTCTTTCAGCCCCCACAGCCACCCCTGCTGCCTCCCAGTCTCACCCCTGGGGACGGCCGGATGGCGCCGCTCGCCGGCGGACCTCCTGTCGCAGATCCTCCACCACGGTCTGGCGAGTGGTCCGCTCTTCGATAACTGCCTGCTCCAGGCGGACCATCGCACCGTGAAGTGCGGCGTACTCCCCCTGGACTTTGGCCACCACTTTGCTCAGTGAGGCCACCTCCCGGCGAAGGGCGGCCAGGTCTTCACGCACATCTGTCATCTCCATCTGTAACGCATAATTACAGTTTTTTACGTTTCTACTAATCATTTAAAGGTGACTTAGTACGTAGGGTTACGTCGTACGCATTACGACATGTCGTGCAGCGTCGTGTCTAATCACGTCACAAAACGACGTGTTATATCGTATTATGACATGTTTTGTCATGCAAACCGTATTGTTGCATACCAGGCAGGCAAGCTTGGCAGTCAGACAGACAGGTCTTATGTAGGTAACCAATATAGAAATTGACTATCGTTACTAGTTTTTCGCAAAAAAAGAGATAATAAAAAAACGTTATCACTTCGAAAGTCTACCCCTGGCCAGGCCTTTTTCATAACGCGGACTGTGAGGGGCCGGTTCGACCTTTGGCGATTAGCTCCTGACCTGATGCACTTAGAAACACCAGATGTATAGGGTAGGTGAACTCAGACGACATCTTGCCCCTGTTCAAATTTAGTGACTGACACGTCACACAGACAGTCACACAGACAGTCACGCAGACAGTCACAGCAGGACTGACACAGTCACACAGTCACACAGACAGTCACACAGACAGAGTCACACACACACACACACATACAGTCACACAGACAGTCACACAGACAGTCACACAGATCGTCACACATACCGTCACACAGACAGTCACACATACCGTCACACAGTCACACAGTCAGTCACACAGACAGTCACACAGTCAGTCACACAGACAGTCACACAGACAGTCACACATACAGTCACACAAGACAGTCACACAGACAGTCACACAGACAGTCACACAGACAGTCACCAGACAGTCACACAGACAGTCACACAGATAGTCACACAGACAGTCACACAGACAGTAACACAGACAGTCACACAGACAGTCACACAGACAGTCACACAGCAGGACCTCGGCTAAGGAATTTCGACTGGACAGATGGGGACAAACCCGACTCCACAATGTCATATTATACCACCTAATATACACCGTATAAGCGGACCTTTACACCACGCGTAACATACATATTATATATACCGTAGGAAAAGGTATACCAAAATCCTGCCTAATCAGAGCATCCGTAAACATGTCTACACAAACTTCTACCAAAGGTTTCGAGGCCAGCGTAGGGCCCTCAGAAGCCGAAGTCGAGCCGTCGGAGGCTAGTGGTCATTAAGAGTCCGCTTTGGGACCTTCGTGGGGCCCAAAGAATCCAGTGCGTAGCCCTTTTAGACTAGCGTGGGGTAATATAAGGGCAGCGTGGCTTCCTCTAAGACCAGCGGCGTGGGGTCTTCTGAGGCCAGATTGGGGCCCAATGCTCGGGGTTACATGAGCAGAGTTAATACGCATTACAAACAGACTACAATGGTGAGCGAATAGGAAAATCCGTTCCTGATACGCATTTACTTGCTCATGTAACCCCGGAATGAGAACAGCTCAGCTTGGGGCTATCTAAGGACAATGTAGGCCCTCTTAGGTTAACGTGGGGCCCCCTGTCCTCTGAAGTTTAAGGTTGGAGCTGGGACCTCAGAGGCTGGCGTTGGGCCATCAGAGGCCACCTCGAGGGCCTCGACGGTCAGACTGTAGCCCTTATGCATGTTTATTGTTTAACCCACGAGCCGCTGGGGGGGAGCATAAAGTTGCCCCCCTTACGTTTTGCGGAATATCTCCGTAACCTGATAAGCTACGAACGTGAAACTCAAGGTAGCATCAAATGAATACCTAGGCAATATTTGAGCAAAATTTGGTGGCTGTAGCACTTAAGATGACGTCACAGTGACGTCATAAAATATTGTCGTTTTTTGATACGGACCGTTTCTGATGTCGCTGAGCATGAAACTCAACTGTAAATGAACTAGACAGCACCTGCTGTCATCCTGAAACACCTAAATGCACTTCCATCTAGTTCCTGACCAATAATCGGCCCTTTACATACGGTCCCATATATCTGATATATCGTGAGGAAACTGAGAGTCGCAAATCTAAAATTTTACCTATGACGTCACTGTGACGTCATTTCAGATGAGATCGACACCGAATTTGGACACAACAACCTCGGCTAGGTATTCAGAAAGATATGTGTAAAGTTTCGCTTCTCTATCTCGTCGCGTTGCAATGATATCGTCGCAGAAGTAAAGGGGGGCAACTATATGCCCCCCCCCCCCCACAGCGGCCGGCGGGTGACGCGGAGGCCCAGTGGCCGCCGGGTTCTTTAAACATGGATTACACGACACTTTCATATTGTGGTCCTCAGTGACCTGACCTCTGTTACCTGACCTGGTATCAGTGACCTCAAATAGCAAAATATGTGTTCCACGAGCAATTCTTGCGCTTAACAAAAAGATCAGTTTCTTATTTTGTTTTACATTTTAGGGGATTATTTCAAAAGTCACTTATTTAATTTGGGGTTTAAAATCAAAACAAATATATAACAAACAAGATAGCAGTTTTGTAGCGCTGCTCGTTTTATATCTTTTTGTTTTTCAACATTTTCCTTTATCTTTAAAACTTTGGGCTTGACAGCTCCTCCCACCAAACCTCTTTTGGGTCGGAAATGCCTGAACGTGACGTCACTCTGACGTCATTTGCGGCCATGCATGTCATTCACATGCATGTAAGCACCCACATCCAAACACTCAGACGGGTACCTAGCACACAGAGAAGACACACAAAGACTCACAGAATCAATTACACACTGTTACAAAAACACATGTAGTCTGACAGTAGACACAGACGCACAAAACACACTCAGACAACAGACACAGGGACACACAGAACCCACACACACACACACACACAGGTCGGTCCTGCTCACCTGATATTCGCCGCCTCCGCCGTGGTCGGCTCCGGTGGACAGAGCTCAGTACCGTCCACACACTGTTGGACCACCCGCTCTGTCGACTGACCCGGCCGGTGGACGCAGTGCAGCTCGTGCCCCTCCGTCGGCCTTTGTCCCGGTCTGGACCGCTGCAACTGCGCAGTACGTAATTACCCCGGGGCGGGGCGCCGCTGAGTCATGGTACCGGTTAGCGCCGACCTCGGGCCGCTGGGCGACTGCAGCGCCCCTACCGGTCACCGGCGTCGTACTGTAACTAATGGGGAGCCGGGGCGTTCATGGAACACTTGAGATGTAAGTGCACAGTTGCCTCGTAAAGGCTAGTCAGCAACAACAACAAAATAAAATGGGAACTCTCTACATTCGTCAAGGACTTGGATGTCCGGGTTCCAATGGGCCTTGTCCCGTAGCGAGGAGACTCTAGCGTGTTCACTGTCCAGTGAGTCGGCGGCGCGGTGTCCCGGCCTGATGACGTCAGTGGGGGGTCACCAGGGTTACAGGGACAACACGGGCCGCCGGTCGATGTGCAGTCCCCCCACCCCTCCCCTCCCCTTCCCCAGTACCCGGGACAACTCTGCAACTCGGCAAAACAAAACTTAGTGACGACTGACGAGCAGGCATGAACGGTTGAAAAACAAAACCGATGATAGGCGTAAATGGGTAATGGTGAGCGGTGGCGCAAAAAGGGCCACTCGATTTGCATAGGCCGCGAACAATGGGTCGCCGCCGCCGCCGCCGCCGCCGCGGAGTCGCGGTGTCGCGGCCTGCAGCCGGCAGCGGCCCCTCCCCGTCGGAGCAGCGGAGGAGGGTGCGTGCCGCGGGGAGGGGAGCCGGCGGCGGGGGAGGGCGCCGGCACCTGCCGACCACCTGGTGCCCCGCGGCGCCCCGGCGCCCTCCAGCCAGGCGTGACCGCGCCGCCGGCGCCCTCCCCGCCCGGCGCCCTTGACCCGACATAGACCCACCGCCGCCGCTGCGCCGCGACCGCCGCCAGCGCCAGCCGACGGTGACCATTGTGACGCACACCGGGCGGGGCGTGCGCCGCGCTCGCCCCCAGTGCGCCGCATTCGTCCTCAGCCGTCCGTGAAATCCCATTTGGCGCATTGTGCGAGCGGGAGACGCGTGCGGCGCCGGTGAGAACAGGTGGAAAGGTTTCCCGGCGGTTGGGTCACAGCGCGCGGCCAGCGGGCGGCCGCGGGCCGGGACGACAACCGAGGTCCTTCGGCGGCCCGCCGACAACGTTGACAAATCGTGTTTTGTATTTTACACTCGCACAAGGTCACACGGGTCGCCTGTGCGACACTGTGCGAAATTTGCTCTCAACGAGAATAAAGTGAGTCGGTGACAAACAAAAATCGGCACCGAGCACCGTACCGGAACTTATGGCCATTTAGCACGGTATGTCAGTTGGCCCGCGGACCATGTAAAAGGCACAGTGGGTGGCGACATTCATTCTTGCACTGGTCGTTTGCCGCTGGCACTGTCAGGGAGCCGACCAAGGTAACTACCGCCCCTCGATAAACTGCAGGAATGGAGCTGAGCTGCTCACACCTCGGTACATACCGAGAGACAATGGCGCGGCGTCTTCCGTGGGTGAAAACCGACACTTTTCTGGCTTTGAAAATTGCAGCCTGCATTTGAAAAAAATGCATTTGCAATTGAGCCTGCAGTGAAGTATGCAAAAGTGTAGTGTGAGAGCTGGGTTTTGGAGGCTGTCGCCTCGGCGCCGCGGGGAGCGTCGGCCGGCCGCCGTCTGCCCCGTCCCCTCTGCATTGTAAAACACGATTTATCGTATCATTTTGTTGCGATAAGCCGGAATTTCAAAACATTTCAGGTTATTACATCATTTTATGATACAATAAATTGAAATGTCAGGATTTAACACGCGCAGTGGAAGGGGGGGCGGATTTC